CGGTTTTCAGGGTTCATAAAGTTGGAATCTTTCTCTTTAATTTAAAAAAAACAAGTCGCTACGATTTTGTTTCACAAAGTTACAGCATTTTGAAGTAACCCTCGTATTTTTCTCATGTATGTTTGGCATTGTCCGATGTGCACTATAGGGAGTTAGCAATCGGATTTTGCACATTGTGTGAGTGCGGGCGTGTGTAAAACATACACATATACACACACGGTGTGCAAAATCCGATCGTCAACCTACTTATAGTGCACATCGGTTCCAAATCTATTTCAATTATAAATTTATAAATTAAAAAATTTTAATACATTTTAATCCTTTCCCGTTTACTAGGCAGTCCCAAAATCGAGGGTTCAAAAAAAGACGGGCGAAAAAACCACCCGTTTTTGGGTCACTCTTTCTATTTTCTATAATTTTCTCGAAGATCTAAAAAAATTGCACGAATCGTTGACGTCTCTGTCCAAGAAAATTACGGTATATTACGGATTACAGGTTTCGGTTCTGGCTGACGCGAACATTCCGGATATTAAGGCGATCGGAGACTTCGATACGGTTGCGGTGACCTTACATTTCCCATCGGGAACCCTCGGCATGATCGATTTGTCGCGCAACAGCACGTTCGGATATGATCAACGATTGGAGGTCTTTGGCCCGAAGGGCATGGTGCAGGCCGACAACGAACAGCCAAACTCTGTTTGTTGGCGACGTGAACTCCAAGGGATAACCACCGCACCGATCTGGTACTCGTTCGCCAGCCGTTTTATGAACGGCTATCGAAGAGAGTTCGATCACTTCGTCGACGTGGTGCACGGTAAGGTCGAGTCGCAGGTCAAGTCGAAGGATATCTTGGCGGTGAGCAAGATCGCCACGGCTTGCGAGGAGTCCGCTCGCACGGGAAAAATCGTGACTCTCAAATGGACCAGCAGCGAGTTGCCTGATAATTCATGAAGGAACAACAAGAGAACTGCTATTACACAACTGTATTGTGTAACTTTATCGTCTTCTTTGATACTACTTTTATAAATTGTGTAAACAAACAACAAATTAACGCGATAAGACAGTATCGACTTCTATTGAATATTATTCATTGAAAAATTTATATGCATGTTTTTTTATTATATGTTTTTGACCAGAATGTTGTCTATATATTATATTTTACTAGATCTAATATACTATATGTTACTATATTTTATCTGATAATAAAAAATGAAAATACAAATATGATGAATGAAAGTTATAAGTGAATTTTTGAATTTTTTCCTTTTTCTCCTCATTAGATTTTTTTTTACCTCAATATCACAAAATAAATATAATTTTAAAGTGCAAATTGAAATATAAAAAAGAATTACAATACACATTACAATAGAATTACATCCACACACTACACACTATATGATGTAGATTATTATTGTTTAACTTTTACTAAATTTGTTAAAGTTGAATGTTCAGTTGATGAAATAAATCAAGCTGTTATTGTTCATGTTTTTTATTACATGATAAAAAATTATACAATAACATACCAAATACCGTATCAAAAGAAAAATAGCAGCAGTATAAAATTGACATTACTTAATTGTAAGTTGGATACACACCTGTATAGAAGACACTTATTCTTTGCAACTGCTAACAAATATTTTGTAAAAAACATGGAAAATTTCTATTCGCCTGTTATTATCATTTCTTTCTACTCACCTGTTACTATCATTTTATGTACAATTAAAGTCAGCGTTTCTTCAGTAAATAATGAGGAACTAAATTTGAGCTGAGTCCAACATTAAATCCACGTTTCTGAAATATTATCAAACGTCGATATCCTAGCACAAAGATTCTGTTTATCGCATATTATGTTCAACTTATTTAGAGTCTATTAATACTAGATATATATATATATATATATATATATATACAGTGTGTGGAAAGTCACTGCAAAAATATCGCAACGCGCGTTACATCCTCGATCGAGTCAAATCGCGGCTTCTTGTTATTTCCTCGAGTGCATCCCAGACTGAATTTTACGTCTCGACACGAGTTTTCCCAATACAAGTATCATACGCTTCGCGCACGAAATCCGCGAAAATCTCCACGGACGTTACAACTTCAATCGAATCAAGTAGCGAGTGCTTGTTATTTTCCTGAGTACACCCTGGCGACAGAAATTTCTCTTCCGCCAGCTCTATAACGCCTCACAATAAGGTGTACGGTAAGCAAATATATTGTCGAATTGAAATGAACTTTTTGAGATGCACAAAACCAAAAGTGGCATTTTTACAGATTTTTTTTGCTGTAGAATAATTCTACAGTTATAATCAAAATAAAATTAAAAACACCATTTAGATGATCATATACCCGAAAATTTCAACGATTTTTTTTAATCCTTAAAAAGTAATTTATTGAAGAATTCGAAAAGATTGAATCATCTCGATTAGCGAACATTATTTAAGTAAATATTAACGAAATTGTGTCTTTCGTCGATTTCTGCGCATATTCACAATCTGCAATATTCGAGAATTTATCTATTTACTTTTTGTAAATAATTTCTATTTTTATTCGTGCGGACGACACACGATTCTCGCGGGATTCCGTGATGATCTTTTTGGCGTTTCATGTGGCGCACCGTCCTCGCGGCGGGTTGATCGAATCGACGAGACCGGAATTTTTTCGCGGTAAACGTAACACGATAGCTCTACGTCCGGATCCAATACCGCGCCAGACACTAGAAAGAAAAAGGGAGAAGCATAGAGAATGCCGGTATGATCCGACGACTAAAAAAAAAAAAGATAGAAAAGTAGAGAGAAAAATGGAGTAGCGAACGGGTGGTGAGAATTCGATGGAAGTAATCGTAAGCTTTGCGAAAAGATAGACATGGAAAATTAATTTTGCGCGTCCAAATAACGGAACGTTGCTTGCCGATGACACGATTTTGTTCTCTCTTCGAGAAAGAAAGAATAGCTTAGCTTATCAAGAATTAATATAACATCACGCGACGAGGGAATGAAAGTTAGTTAGCCGAGTTTCGCGCCTCGAGTCCGGATTTCTTTTCTAGCGATATAAGAAAGAAACGACGCGCACCTTTTCTCCGTCCGCGAACTCTATTCTTGGATTAAAGAGAGTTACGACGCAAACGTACTCGGCACGGACAGAGGGAGGGAGCGGGTGTGAGCTCGGGATTAATCTCGTCGCGGCGGCAGCAGCGGCGACGGCGGAGGAATCCCGGATCCGGGGAGTTTATAAGTGCGACTGCGGCTGACAGTTATTAGAGACAGTTATGGGGGTGCCCATGAGCGAAAATGCGAGCATGTCCCGCGGCCTCCTCTCACTTCGCTGGTGCTTACTTTATTTCAGTCCCTCTCGAACGTGATATCGGGCCCGGTGTCCTCGTAGAGATAGAGAAAGAGAGAGAGAGAGAGAGAGAGAGAGAGAGTGCACGTTCTCGTGTAGAAAATTACTATCCTCTCTGTGCCCGAGCGCGTCGTCGGTGCCAAAAGCGATTTAGCCAACGACGCTAGAATCATCCTGATAGCTGCTGACGGCCAACGAGCGGATTGAAAACAATGTCGTTCCCGCATATCGCCCGGTCGTTATTCCGCGGAAAAATCCTCGAAGAAACGGCACGCGAAAGGGTTACTCTTAAGCTGAACACGCTAAATGAACTTTTACCGGACGAGATACTCGCTTGTTATATTCCTTTTTTTGCACGGTTCTGCACTGAGAAAAAAAATTGATTGTACGAACTAAATTTGTGTAGTTGTTTGACCGAATGGTTGATTTAACAATTCTTTAATTGCACAAAAAAAGTATAGTTCATTTATGTCAACCATCAAAATTTTTTAACCAAAAATTAACTAAACCAACTCAATTAAATTTTTTTTTTTTCAAAATACTAGTAGTATTTATTTGTGTTTGCAACACACGCTATTTAGTTATCCAAGTAATATAATTGTTTAAATTCCAAGTATCAAACTAACTAAACGATGCTGATGGGGATAATAAATAGTGTGTATTTTTAATCGAACGGTTAAGTTAAATACGATAAATTTTTGTTGAAATAAAATAGTTCAGTTAATAAATAGTATTTTATTTATAATAGAAACAAATTTTGTGTCATCGTAGTAACGTTTAGTTGAACGTATCGAATTAAATATTTTGGTAAAATAAAACAAATTTTTTTCTAAGTATGATATATATTCGTAGATATATATAAAATATTCAAATATAAAACGTATATTGATCTTGCAGTTACTGTAAATGTCGATATGTGACGTTGAAAAGATTTTTTCTCACACAGAATCGATAGTTTTCGGAAACTCTACATTGTAATCACGTCCCGAGCAATTATTCAGAAATACGTCAATATATTATCATATATTGTCAATAATCGCGATTCATATCCCGTCAATAATGGCGAAAATAATTCAGTGATCTGAAAACAATCATTCCATTAAACAGTCATTTTACGACTTGATGATAGAAAGAGAAACCTATAACATGTAAATACACGTAACGCTATTCTACTTCTACCTCCGAGCCGCGGAATAATACAAATGGCTTTAGTTATAAAACTATACGACTGATTGTGAGTATATATAGTTAGCGAGATTATTTGTTCTATCGTCGACTATAAGACTAGCCGTGATGTAAACGAGAAATAATATCCAGTTAAATGATCAGGATAAAATTCATACATAAAAAAGCTGCTGAGAGCGTATTTGCGTTTATTGGAATTTCAACTTTTATTTTCCCCAAAAATAACCTCATGGAAAAAAATTGCTGAAGCTAGTATAGATGCAAACTCATCGAAAAAGTTTGCTAATATTTATAATTCCGTACAAACTAAAATTGCTCAAAAAAGGTTATTTTACTTGCTGTCGTTATAAGCTCGGAAACATTGCGTACAAAAAAAAAACAAAATCGAAATTGCATAAAAAATTTTATTTTTTATAGTTTTGAATTTTTGAAGCAGAAAAATAATACTAATATTTCGAGAACATTTCGGGAGAATATGTATTTTTATGCAAAGTATCTATTATATTGAGAGGAACAAGCGGAACGACTGACAAAAATTGAAAGAACTTCACGTGAGGTAGATGAAACGAGAGTGTAGCGACTCGGCACGAGGTGGAGACACAAGCCGATGCACAAAAGATGCGTTTGCATCTCTTCACTCTCGAAAAGAAAAGCTTCCCTAAAAATTATATATTTTATACATTTTTACAAATTATTTTGTAAATTTCTATATAAAAACTTTTTTATTATAAGAAACTGTTTTACCGATATTTTTTAGCCTAATGCATCGTCCGTTTGGATAGTTTTGTGATTTATTAATTTTTTTTAATTATAAAATAATAACGAAAACGTAGAACTTTACTTCATCGTCACTTTATCTAACTACAACTGCGAATCTAATATTTTCCGGAACACCCAGTATACCGTGTTAAGGTTCTGCTAATTCACGTCTACTCGGATTAATGTTCGTACGGACGAAATTGCTGAAATTTCCCGTATATTCGCTATACCGCGTAATTCACTGCGAATTTCATGCCAGCTATTTCTGCATTTATATACCGTATACCGCGTAGTCGAACAGGGCTGTATCAAGAGTGATCTAGTCGTGTAACCGACACGTAAAATACGACGGTAGAGGAGAATATAACTCTTTCTTGTCATCTCATTTTATCTTCTACATGCGATATTTTGAGTCTTATACAGTCATTTGTGTAACTTTAAAAACTGTATATCTCTCATTTTAAGATTATTTCTGAACTCAAGTAACTGGACTTTTGATTAGCTCTACATGAATTTTTATAGAGGGAACAATAATTGAAAAAAAAACAATAAAGTAATTGAATAAGAGATGAACGATAATGGATAAATTTAATAATTCTTCTACATTGCATCTGAGAATCAGGGACTCTTAGATTACACTTTCGCTTATCTAGAACATTTATTTGTCGCAATTAAAATCCTTCCTCACCGCGCAGATGCGAAAATATGCAGAACGAACGGCTTTTAGTGGAAACCGGCGAATAATTCCGCGCCGTTTCGTCCCTGCGGCTGGCGAAACGTTGCAGACTTCCTCGTCGCGGCGATTCCACTTAAACCGAGTTTA